GGTATATCGCGCCATCGTCAGATACTGGAACAGTAATTGTAAATGAGTAGTATTTTATTTGGGGATACTATGGTACCCAATATAGAGTAAGATTATATCCTCCTTTTGGGGTATAGTGTTTTATACACGGAATATAATCCTACTAGGTTTAACCACCAAATAAAAAGGCTACTCAAGTGCCCAATAATATGATTGGGAGTATTGAGGATTTGGGCAACAATTGCGGTATAAGTAGTATGGTCTAATAGGAATATAAGAAGACCGTAAAGATTTCCCGTATCACTTATAGTTACCATTATTGGGTGGTGGGTCGACCGAAAGATTTTTGGTTTGGGGGAGGGTGGCTTCTGAGTACTTGGGCCATCAGAGATCTGTGGACCCTTGGTAAAGCCGCAGTCAATGGAGGCATAAACTTAATGTCAGGTACAAGTAAGATACCAATGCGTTTGTTTCATGACCACTCCACCTGCAGTGAAGTGTGGCAATTAATGTCGCAGCTTCTGAGTCTGAAGGGTCCTGAATTGTACAGAATTTTCCAGGATCATTCAACATACCCCACGACCCCAGTTGGGGGCGTTCGGGGGGCCGCGAGCGACAGTGAAACCCTAAAGCCTACACCCCACTGTCTTGTAGGGAACGAGTATTCCTCCTGGACTGACAGGCTACGGTCCCGATAAAAAGGTGTTCAGAATTCTCAGTAATAACCCCCTCCCCCACACCCACCAATATTAGGGTAGGTAAGCTGGCGTTCCAAGTTGATAATCAGATAGTATACAATGTCAGTGATGTTATTGCAACATTCTTCTTTGAAGGTCGACCACTTCCTTGACAAGAAGGCTGTCCGGAAACTTGACTGGGTTGTTGTTGCGGAACTTAATTCAAGTTATCCCCCACACCTACTTTAGTGTTTTCCCTCAACCTTGTCCACAGGCTTCCTACGCGACTAGTTTCGCCACCCTAAACCCTAAACCGTCAGGCTTGAAGCCACAGCTGTGGATTCATCTTGAACATTCCTCCTGTAGCTCTATGCCACATGTTTGATTTTTCGATTTTTTTCGAAGAAAAAAAACGAATGAAGAATCACATGGACAAGAAAATGGAAAATGAAATGGAAACTGTGGTAATCTAGGGATTTAAGGAACTTACTTTAAGTTACTATATTGCTATATTGTGGAAACCATCGTAACTATCATGTATACCCACTATGGTAGCTTAATTCAAGTTCCGTAGCAGCAACCCAGTTGAGGTACAACTTGTTGCAGCCTGAAGCCGATGGACAAGAAGAACATGAGCTGGGAGGTTTAGGGTTTAGGGTTTAGGGTATATATTCGGGTTATATTGGGATAATGGAAAATAAAATGGAAACTACTATAATGGGACATATTAGGGTTTTATGGTACCCCAATAATGGAGAATCAAATGGAAAAGAACATGGAAAATGAAATGGAAACTGGGATTATATAGGGGTTGGGGGCCCCCAAAAATAAGGATTAGAGTATTTTGGGGTCTATATTGGGGTCCCCTTATTTTGGGAAACATGAGCTGGGAGTCTGCAATCTGTGCAGCGCATTGATTCCATAGCGCCTTTGGGTCCAAAGTGGCCCTGGTGGCGAGTTTGCCGCAGCTGCAGCTTTGTTATAATACCATTCAAGGCCTGTTGCCCTGAAGGGGCCCCCCTGTAGGGAGAACAATAAAGGCAAACAAGGCTGCATGGCTTGGCATACGTCAGCTGCCCACGGAGAAGTGGACAAGCTTGCAGAAAATCTGTATCATGAAAAAGTCGGCGGCAACGACATCTTGTCAGCAGTGCTGGCCGTTGCGCATGTCAGCTTGAGGCGCTCTTGACGGTGTGAGCTGACTGTTGAAGTTTGAACGCCAACCCTCAACATGTAGAAATCTGCAGGCAGCCGGGGAAGAAACCTCTCAGCTGCCTTTCTTCGTTGGCGGCCTGCTGGTGGCCTTGGCTGGCGTTGGCGCGCTTGCGCCGGGAACCAAAAGATCAAAGCCCTAAACCAAAGCCAAAGCCCCGTGCTGCCCATGCTGGATGAGTTACTATCATGGGTATATATTAGGTGATTAATGTAGTTGTCTGCCCTGCTGAAGAAGAAGTCCGGGCAGTGTATGCAGTTTAGCTACTTCAGTCTGTCTCTCACGTATTACGGGAGCTGGCCTGCTCGCATTAAATGCGTATCCTACGCCGATAGCTGATCCTAGCGGCCCAATTTGCCTTTACGAGGTTCGGAGGTGAGAGCTACGACAACGTTGACGACAAAAAGGCACCACATGATTAGATTTGGGACCTCAGTTGTTGCTGTGGGAGGTAGTATGCATCCATCAGCGTCGGATCCCAGACATTGGAGTTCAACCATTCATCGCATCATGATTCGTCAATGATACCGCATCATGACACGTCAAGCATACATCAATGATCTCAAAATCTCGATGAACAAGCAGGCCAAGATCCACATGCTTCGCTTTTGGCATTTGACTCATCTGACTGTTCAGGTTGTCAAGGAGTACTTCAACAACGCAGGACAGCTGCACGGCGCAAGCCGATGTCGACATGATGTGGAAGCAAGTGGCAGGAGGACGCAATTGTTTCACGTGACAAGTTGCAAACATTCCAGGCTTCGAGAGATGGCAAAAGATCTATGGCGAGACTGATGACGTGAACCCGGTCCAAAAGGTGGTTTGTCAGCACGGAGCATCTGTGGAAGTTGTGCTGGTGAGGCGACTCGCATCTTTTCAGCACGAGTACATGTTCAGCGCACAACAGCCAGTAGCGCATTTCAACATCTGCAGCAGAAATTTGAAGCCTTACAATGCTGAGCAGCACATGGATCAAAAGCCCGGGCAGTCCTTGCTGAGGACATCCGTGTCGGCCATGCTCAGACTGTGGACAAGATCTTGGGATGGCTGGAGCGAATCTGTCAAACAGCTGTGGTGTATGATGGTATAGTGCAGTATATTATAATAGATCATGGTATAGTATAGTATATTATGGTATATCATCCTGTCAAGTTTTCTTTTACATTGCTTAGAGGGTCTATACATACAACTTTAAACGAATTAGGGCTCATACTGTAGTCCCTTCTGTAGTACGGTTTGTTGGAGCCTAATTCCACAATGGTGAACCCTCTGGGTTGGGGTTGCCCTAAACCCTTAACCCATTCGACCCATCTTCCGTTTTGTGGAAGGACCCAAACACAATCGCTGGGAAAACGGTCTGTGATGCAGGGCCAGGCACCTAAACCCCACTTCCTAACAACAGTATGTAGGGGTTACGTAGGGACCTTAATGGGTAACATAGGGGTTCTAATATGATGATATAGCAAATGAAAGATGATTTGGAAGCTAGGGTTATATGAATTGGGATTTCCCCAAATTCATGATGATGCGGGTCCGTATGGTGGGGTTCCTATCATAATGAGGGTCCATGTATGAACTTCATCTCGAGACCAAGCTCCATTATCTATATATTTTTTTAGTATACCCTGTTCGGAACATTTTTTACTGCAAGCAGGAGAGATCTGCTGACTTAAACGCGTGCATGTCCTGGGACGTTTTCTGCATTTTCGCTGGACTGAAAGCCGCCGCATGGATTGTTACAGCGCAGCTGGCTGTTGCGGGCTGTTTTGGTGGGTGTGCCGCGTTCTCACTTGCATGCATGCTTGTAATAGTCTGGAATCAGATCTCAGGTGCGGAACAGGCAGCTTGTCCATTCCACTGGCCAGCCGCGGGGCTATGGCGTGCACCTAAGGATGTTGACGAATGTCATGTGACGGCTAAACCAAGGTTTTGCTTGTAGGCCTGCTTGCCCTAAATGCCTAGCGCGATAGTGACCATGTGTTTCAGGCAGACTCAGAGGTTTTAAGCTTGGCATTCAGGGATGACCTGTTGTCATGCATGCAGAGTGGCAATGGTACTTCACGAAACTCTTACAAGCAGAACATCCGGTAAAATCATTTTAGTTACTATAATGATATGAGAATAATACTGTAGTAGTACTATAGTAATTCTATAGTGAAATTAAAACAATACTATAGTACTGCTATAATATTAGGAGCAGCAATTGCGACCAGAGCTGAGCAGCGCGTGACGCTCTGAGAAGACATTGTCCCAGGTGAATGGCAGCGACATTAGTTCTGCCATGGTGGGCGAGGCCCGAACAGCAGCACGCTAGCTAATGGATTCTAACAGCTGTTTCAAGTCTGACGAAAGAGCTGGGTTCATGACATGTCAATTGCAGTACGCTGTAGAGACTTGGGAGGGCAAGGGTCCTTGTGGATGCACCACTGTTTCTACCTCTTTCCACAAGTCGGCTTGCACACGGTTGCTTAGGTACATAGAAGCTTGATAAGTGATTAGAAGATCTTCCACGTCTTACGAGGGATGCAAAACCCATGTGTGAGGGGTCTGGCAAGAACTAGCAACGAATTGTCCTTCTTCACTTTTTGTTTCTATTGTTATGATGACGACGACGACTACTATTACTACTCCTACTACTACTACTACTACTACTAGTCCTCCTCCTGCTGCTGCTGCGCATTTGGGCCGAAAGGCCGAAGTCCGAGCGAAAGCGTCGCTTCCGACAGAGCAGGTGCCGAAGCTCCTTGTCCAATAATCAGTCCGCATACCAATTCTGCAGATTGACGGTCATCTCACACCATTCAACATGTGGCATTGTCTGATGGTGGATCTCCTTAACTTCAAAGGAGGAAGCCGCAAATCCTCAAGTGACCCAAGGTTCTCAACATCGGATCTGGAGGCCAAGACAGTCCTGGTGCATGAGCAAGGGTAGTTGGGATGGTACAAGCAAGTTTCGCCATTCCTGCACGTAATCTTTCGCGACCTTTTGCAGCGCATGGGCAGACATGCGGTGAAGTGGCAGGCGATCTCCGGCGAGTACGACACGGTGTGCTGCGTGGATGTGCCCCGGACGTGAAAAGCTTATCTATACTGTCCTTAGAATTAGTTTTAATGTTTGTTATAAATGTTAAACATATTGAGTTTAGAATAGGTCTAAGGATACTACAGATAAAAGAGGAGCCAACTCAAGGGTGTCTTGAATGAGCGTGACGTCCAACTGAGAAAGGCTTTGGTGCTACAAGATGTAGCTTGCATTGCTTCATGATACTAAAAATCCTGCATGATTTAACTATACTGTAGTACCACAATTCCCATGGTGTAGGGTACCTACGGTAATGCAGTTTTTGTTGTATCCACCGTAGCCTCGCTGGCTCGTGACTTTCCTACCACTCTCTCTCTTGCGAGGTACTCATCCATTATCCGCCAGACAAGATGTCGGGCATGGTGCAACATTTGGCAGGGTGCGCAGCAGAGAACGGGCTTTTGTCTGGATCAGCGGTGTCGGATTTGGCTAGACCTTTCAGATGTTTTTTTCGCAGAAGTCATGGGATCTCCCCTGGTTTGGCTGCTCATACCTTTTAGAGGATCTTTTGCTCTGTTAGAGCTGACTGTGGCTACATGGGTAAGCTCCCCTCTGCGAATTGATGGCACGAGCAGAGCATTGTGATGCGTGTTTGCACGACTCTTGGCACTCAACTTCGAGCCCCAATGGCATCCTCAGTATTATTACTTTGAGCTCTTCTCCGTTCCGCTCCCCAGCACAACGACCCGAAGGCTCAGCAAAGAGCGGCTGATCCTGTCCTTCGCACCCAAGACCTGGTCACAGCCTTAGCGGCGCAAGCGTTGCAGAGGGTGGTGTAGATCTGCCTTGGGAGCCCCCCCACAGCCATTTGTTGGGAAGCGATGCGAGTCTCAGTTGAAAAAAGCGAGCGGAACATCATGACTTCCCATTTTCCCAACACTGCAAAATGATGGGAAGAACACAGATGACAGAAGGTGCCAATTTGCGTGATGCAAGCTGTGCTGATTCTGCCCTGTGGGATTGGAGCACTTCTTGGGCCGATGCTGAAAGAAAAGGGTTCACGTCTGCTAAGGTCAGTCCTCCCGTTCAAATTTTGAGAACTTGCTGTATCGGGCAATCAAATTGTTGTCACGGAGGTGAACGCAGTTCCCATCCTCTGCTGCTGCAATGTTAGCTTCGCGTACTCTTTGGAGTCGACATGGACTTGTCGATGTTCTGGCCCTTGCCGGAGGGCCTCGACACCACAGTTATGAAATGAAGTGAAGGGGGGTGGGCAAAAAACACCAGTTGCAAAAGGAGACAGCGAAAGGCTGATATGACACGGTCACGCGGGAGACAAGCTCTGATCGCCAGGAGATTTGGCCTCAGACCCTCAAGCAACGGTACAGTACGAAGTGAGGCCCCATACCGTATATTCTATCTACTCAAGGGTGACTATAGTAGCAGGCTTCGCGGAAACCAAACATCAGACCCAGCTCAAGACACCAAACATGGGGTTATGTTAGGCTTTAAGGTGTAGGGTAGGAATGGAAGAGGAAAGGGAAACTACTCTAATGGGGTTATCTAGGTTTTAGGTTTGGGGTAGGAATGGAAAAGAAAATGGAAACTACTATAATGGGGTTATCTAGGTTTTAGGTGTAGGGTAGGAACGGGAAGAACATGGAAACTACTATAATGTGTTATCTAGGTTTTAGGTTTAGGGTAGGAATGGAAAAGTGGATTCGGACACTACTATACAAGACACCAATGAAAAGGTACTACCAAACTTGCTTTGAGATTTCGACAAGCGGCTTGTAAATCTGTAGTTTCCTTTCTGTTTGCCGTTTCCTTTTCCATTCGATTCTCCATTATTGGGGGATGCCCTCCCTAGGAAACGTTTGCCTCAGGTACTACAAGCTGCTGAAGCGAATCGGAGAGCTTTTCCCTGGCAAGTCCAAGACCACTCGCAACCTGCCAAAACTTGGAAAATTCGGACTTGTAGAGGGATATAGCCTCAACAATGAAGAAGCAAATGGAAGAACATGGAGCATTACATGGGAACTGAAGATTTATAGGATGTAGAGGGATAGAATTATGAAGTGATTTTCAACTTAGGGTGATGTGTCGCTAGTACTACTCTCTCGAACTCGAGCTGAATCTCCTTCCTTCACCTCAGAATGCAATCGGGCACAGGTGCATACCTCCATGATGAGGCTGACGTTGAGGCAGCGCAGTCTTGTCGTCTGCTAGCCTGCGTTCCTCTTGTTCCTTATATCGTGCACTTTTGGAGTTCACATCTTGCTAGAGGCTGCACTGCGCGAAGCAGGATACCAAGCGCGCGGCTCGGGAGTTGGATGATGAAAGTGCCGCACAGAAGTCTGCTGGTACATCACCAGCCACCGGCACGGCCGAGGTCACCCGCAAGGATATGACAGCCACCAACTTCTACTTTTCCCGCCTCTTCGAGGCAGGGGCTTGCTTGGTGGCAGGCTATCAGCAGCTGAAGAGGAGTTGGCTTGTTGCCTTCGTTCCTTCCCGAAGGCCAAGCCGGTTGCATCGTGAGAGCCTGTGCGGGCAGCTCAGATTTAAGAAGACAAAGCTTGGAAAAGCCAAGCAGCACAGATCTGGACCTCCAAAGTCGGGAGGTTTGAGGGACCATTGTGCTGACTCCCTCATGCAGTTCTTCAGCGTGCCCCTGGGAATGGCTGCCGGATTTGGGCATTGCCCGACATGCAGTGTTGGGAGTTGAAGACTGCAAGCAGCTCCTTGTCAAAGTGTTCTTGGAACGAATACGGGTTGCTGTTCAAGCTGCTTTCCTGCGAGCCAAGACCCAGGCGCCCTAAGGCTTGCGGTGGCAACGTGTCAGCCGAGCTGACGCAAACGCCCAAACCAGCAAAGCGTCGCAGGAGTCTCTCAGGCGGAAGGTAGCGAGCTGATCGCGGAAAAGTGGCCTTTAGGGCCAAACTTGAGGGGAGGTTCGCTTGACGCCTCCTTGAGCCATGTAGTCCTGATAGCATGAAATCACACATGAAGGCCACGCCGTACAGGGACCCATTGTCAGGTTGGGCAAGGTTTGTTTCCGACCCCGCCGCGGGTAGGGGGAGCACAGCTTGGACACGAGCAGGATTGGGGTTAATTAGTATTGGGGATACTATTGGGGTAATGGAAAATAAAATGGAAACTACTATACTGGGATATATAGGAGTTATATACATTTGTATTCACAGGAACAACGTGTTGTGGCACGTGAATTGACGCGTTGAAGCTTCTCCAAGCAGTGTACCTCTGCTGGCATGCTGTTGCTTTGAGCTGTCGGCATATCAGGCCGAGGTTTGCCATGCAACAAGAGCACAACATGGGGTTATTATTATTGTTATTCATATTATCCATAATATAATTAATATGAATATTCTTAGTAATACTATTATTAGCTGTAATATTATGAATATACAAAATAGTAATATAGCTAATATTATGTTACTACACAAATTCGGACACTGCAAGTCATCCTCTACTTCTACAGGGCCTTGGTATGGGAGTCAAGCTACAGAACTAGAAGCAGTTGTATTCGCAACACTTTGTGATTGCCAGAGCGTGAAAGTAGCCAAAATGCAGAGAAACAAGGCAGCACACTGAGCGATGTAGGGACCCTTTCAAATGAAAGCAAAGCTTTGCACACTGGCGCTTGCGCGCAAGGCAATCTTGAAGCCTGCAGCAGACCCAAGGGAGTAATTGCAAGTATCCACATGGCAAAGTCAGAGCACAAACGAGACTGGGGCGTTCCCGACTAGCAGCTTTACCCTGCTCGCTCTGTGTGCAATTCAATTTGCGCAATGGTGAGCTCAGCGAGCGTAGCCATGGCTGAAGCTGGCTTCGCTAACGGACTGCCGCAGGCGCAGGGGGGGGTGGAGCTTGTGGGGAGATTGGGGCTTGAAGGATCCGAAGAGGGAACAGCCCCCTGCTCCAGCTTACAGCTCCTTTGTTCTTCCTTTCTAGCTCACACAAATTATGCTGCACTTGTGTCATTAATGTTAATGTCTTCTTGGAAGTCGCCCGCGACTCAATTCAGTTGATATTGACATTCTGAAGCCTCTCGGCAAAAGCGGTCCCGGCTGCAATCGACAGCCCCACAACACACAATCCCAACCCAAGGCCTTCACACGCTCAAGTTCAAGCAGTGGCAGCTTCCATTCAAGAGAAGCATCTATACAAGCTGTTGCCCTAAACCTTAAATCCCTAAACCCTAAAACCCAAACCCCACACCCTAAAACCTACAAACCCCGTGACAGATGCCAGCAGGATGGCGGACTGGATGGCGAGGTCCTCGAGACCCATCGCCTGCGCATCCGACAGCACCTAGACTTTCGACTGCAAAGCAGGGGCTTGGTTAGGTCAAATAGAAGGACAATAACAATGGTAGGAAGAGGAGTAGTAGTAGTAGTAGTAGCAGCAGCAGCAGCAGCAGTAGCAGTAGCAGTAGCAGTAGCAGTAGCAGTAGCAGTAGCAGTAGTAGCGCTGGCACTAGCATTTGCAGTTGTAGCTGTTGTTGTTCTTCTTCTTCTTCATCCTCTGCTTCTTCTGCCTCTTGGTGGTGGAGGTGTCGGTGTCGGTGTCATTGTGGTTGTCGCCATCGTCGTCCTCCTCCCTCCTCCTCCTCATAGTCCTCTTCCTCGTGGTCGTGGTCGTGGTTGTTGTTGTTGCTGCTGTTGCTGTTGCTGTCGCTGTTGCTGTCGCTGTTGTCATTGCTGCTGTTGCTGTTGCTCTTGTTCTTGTTCGTTCTTGTTCTTGGTGGTGGTGCTGGCGCTGGTGCTGGTGGCTGGTGGCTGTCGCTGTGGTTGTGGTTGGGGTTGTTTTTGTTATTGTTTTTTCAGGTTTCTTGTTATTGTTGGTGCAAAAGGACAGCCAAGCTTTGGCTTACTGCATCTGCTGGAGCCAGGGGGTGGATCACCCGCAGCCCCCCGCAGCCCCCCGCAGTAAACATAACTGCAACGCTGTTTGGGCGCAATTTGAGACACCTGTTGTGATGGACTTCATGAGCTTCAGCCTAAGCCAGAATTTGACCGGCTCGAAAAGCGAAATCTTGCCATCACCAACTGCGAATCTATGTTGGATCAAAACAATGGGGCCCTGATGATCTAGGCGGTCATTCAGAACGGAATTCCCACACTTCCAGCATGGGAAACATCGCAAGCACAACATCACATCTCAGAGAACACTGCCCTTCTCAGGATCGTGGTGTGTTCCCCGGATTCGCAGAGGCTGCAGTCTGCAACGGCAGGGTAGTGTTTACGCATCTTGCTGGCAGCTTATGCGTGGAGCTATGTGACATTGTCCAGCACGCGCAGAGCGAGCTCTTCAGGACAGAGGTGCTGTCCATGCAAGAGCCGAGGAACTTGGTTGGCTTCACAGACAAGAGCAAGAAGCACAGAATGTCACCATGCACGCTGTTCCGCGGGCATCCTGTTCAAAGTTAAAGGCCTCAGAGCAGGATTTGAACTGTTTGGCAGACAGATCAGGGCCCCGGATGTGCTTGCATTTTGTGAACCGTTTGAAGAGTGCAATGTTGTGTGCGTGTGTCCAGTCTGCAGGAAAGGGAAAGGGTGCTTAGCATGAGGATGCAGGCACATGGCTGGAAGCACATCTAGTGCGAGCAAAGGTATTCCATGATGAAGCCCATCACTGCCACGGCATTTATGAGCTTAGTGGATGACGGAGCGGTGGGGCTTCACGATCCCGTGGCCCGGTACATCCCAAGCTTCAAGACGCTTCAGGTGATGAGCTTAGACGGGGCCCTTTCCTTGGGGAAGGCGGCGCCCAAGAGTCCGTGCATCTGCAACTCTTAGGTTCTCAAGAAGAGGGGCCAGGGCGTGGAAGCCTTGAAGAAGCCAATGACCCTGTGTCATCTCCTGATGCACACATCTGGCATTGGGTATGGTCCCGGTTCGATTACGCCTGGTGTTCCGCTGGTCGCGAGATCTGCTGAAGAGAAGCACTATAAGAGCGTTACGGTCAAGCAAGAGCAGGGTGGCCCGGCGTATGGACTGTGTGATGTGATGTCTCCATGCAAGCAGGCCCGCATGGAAGTAGATATGCCTAACTTGCAGGTTGCAGTACCCTACAACGGCACTTCCAAACCGCCTGTTGCTGGAAGATCTTTATTGGGGGAATCAACGTGGTGGTTTCCCTAAACAGGGGCCCACCATAGACCCCCAAATACTAGTGTCCTTATTCTGGAAAACCCCAACAAGGCATCCCTACTCTTGGGATTTTTAGGAAACCCTCAACCCTAATCCCTAAACCCTTAATATAAACCCTACATACCCCGTTTAAAGGTACCCCTACTTTGGGCACACTCCCAGGTGACATCAATACCCTGGCGAAGCTTTGCGCGGAGCTGGCCAGCGTCTCGAGCAAGTTTAGGGGTTTAGGGCTTAGGGTTTAGGTTTTGAGTAGTATTTTATTTGGGGATACTATGGTACCCATTATAGAGTAAGGTTCTATCCTCCTTTTGGGGTATAGTATTTTATATAAGGAATATAATCTTACTGGGTTTAACCACCAAAAAAACG